TGACGGTCGGACTTCTTAATGCGCAGGCATGGTACTCACTGCATGTATGCTATCCTGACAGCGTATGGCTATCTGATAGAATAAATAAATTCAGTGGCATAGAAGTGAGCTTTATAACGTTCTAACATTATTAACCTTATGCCAATTCAAAACCATGAATGGCTTGAATTGGCTATGACTCCGTTAGAGCCGGCAGCAGGGCGAATATTTGTTGTCCTTTTTTAAATTAAAGCAATTAGATCATGTCAGAGAAAAATCCAATCACTAAACTGTTTCTGTTTGCATAGCAATAACTTTAAACCATAAAAGCTGCATCATCTTCTGTGGCTTAGAAATCACTATTTTTAAAACCGTGGTGTAGCTTAACTAATTCTATTCAATTCAAATTAATAAATACTTTATTTTTCATAAAGGGAATTTAAGTGTTGTCCTAATTCATATCATCTAATTATCTTCATATAGTCTCTGTGAATAATAATCCTCTGGGCAAAAAGGATTCATACATTTAATGACAAAAAACAATTTGCTTTTAGGATCTTTTGAAACAAAAAGAGTTGGTTACATTTTTTAATTAATTTTAAATAAAAAAAGAAACTCTGATGCTCTTATCGTCCACATGTATAATTTTCCATTAAATCTGTATTTATTCTATTTCATTTTTAGCTGGGTTTTCTTGAGCATTGAGGACATCAGATATTGTTCTGCATATTGAACACTTCAGCACACATATAAATGTTACGCTCACCTCGTACTTCCTGTAGTTGACCAGAAGCGCCAGCAGCACCACAGCATCATACCCATGCTGCCCTCTGCTGGACGGATCCGACAGAATCTGAGACGACAGGAAGAAGTCAAAGCATCGCTGAGCCAAAGGGCACAAACTGTTTTAAAAACAACATGTCAAATATCATTGTAAAAGAAAAACACTTACTTGTAGAATAGCTTCAAAAATGCTGTTGATCATCACATATTCCAGAATTGTGTTCTGGCTTATATTATCCGTTACCTGGAAATATAATTTTTCCACATTTATGAGTCGTGTTTAAACGGCATGAGAAGCAAATATTTAAGCAGATTACAGTAAAATTTATGGTTTTATTTTTTGTTGCTTTTTTTTTTTTTTTACATTCCATCTATTCTTCTCACCGTCACCAAACACAGTAACAATTTCAGGCAAAGGCTCTTGAGGCTCTCTGAGCTGTCGCCACAAAGCAGGCTGTCCAATCTCTCCATCAGGTCCTGAAAGAGACGCAAACAAACCTGAATCAACTCAAACAGCTAAGCTTTTTTTTCTTCTTTTTTACCCCCATGTGCTTTGCTTATTGCACAGATGGCTTCTCTTTTTTAAGGCGATTTATCACACACCTTCATCCTCTGCTCCGCCTTGTCAAAGCCCATGAGCATGTTAATGATGTCGAAGCCGGATGCAGACTTGTTCTTCTGATGAACCCCTCGGAAAAGCGCACAGAGCGTCTGGCAAGATGAGCAGAGATCAGAGATTGCTGCGAGACGTGAAAACCTTCCTGAATATAAATGCTGGGAAGGACACTGTGACTGGATTAAGTTGTTTAACATTAAATACACCCTTCTCAACAGGCGAGGGCGCACTTTCTCTGTCTGTAATCACATATTTCAATGACTTGAAACCATTCCTCCCTCCCTGGCACCTCCAGGCCCGGGCCCCCATCCGGCCCGGTTTGGGGGGCAACAGCCCCCCCAGACCCCCCCTATAGCTCCGCGCCTGGTTTGGGGGATTCTGCTGTATTGCAATCAAGCGCAGCAAAAACAATGACATTTCTGGCTCTTTGTGTTTCTCACACTCTCCGGCCCACAGGCCAAACTTAAAAGTTTATGATTTTTTTTTTTTTTTTCACAAAATGGGCTCGACCCCATATGGGTGGGGAACAGAAATGAGTCAATGACGAAAATAAACGTCCTGCATCCGACTGATGATAAAATTCCACTTATCCATGATAGACACAAAAAAGCCAGATAGCAAGAACATGTCAACAGCTGCTTTTGCATAACAGAAAAGTCTCACAAGACAGAACAGCAGTCCTGCCACCACAACATTCATGACCTTTGATTAATACAGTAAAGGCCTTTTTTTATGAATTCAAGACAGTTTAGGCCTTGATTTTAGATACGTGAATTCAAGACTTTTTAAGGATGCGCGGACATCCTGCGGTTACCTGCAGGGCGTTGACTACTTTGATCTGGTGCTCCTCTCCTAGAGCCTGGACGCAGTGGTGAAACAGGGAGTTGATGTTGTCTTGGATACGTTGCACTTCCTCCCCGTTTACACTCTCCAATTTGGACTCCAGGTACTCCAAGTTCACCTGAAACCAAAGAATGTAGCACACTGGGGCAAAAAAATAATTTCACAATAAAATCCTTAAAGAAAAAAAAAGTAATTTAGTCTGTTTTAAATACAGTAAAACTGAGTATTTGGACAAATTATGCAAATGTCGCCACCTGGCAGACTGATGCACAGTCATGCTGCAGTTCAATCTGATTTGAGTGAATCTGCACTTCCTCTTGAACACGAGAACAGATTTTTGCAAATGCCTTTGTCTGTGAGTCACTCCAGCTGCTTCTGACAGCAGTTTTCTCTCAAAACTATTATTTTCAGCGCACATCACAATCACGCTAACCAGGCCAGACAACAAATTTCCAATCATGTCTGCAGACATTCCCACCGGAGTGCGTTTTTCTCTACCTTCATGAGAAACAGCTCGTCCCAGAAGCGAGGGTTATTTTTAGCCGGGTCTTCTTTCTAAATAGGCATAGAAAGGACGCCGTTGTCAGCACTGGAACAAATTTACTCCTTTCTGAAAACATTCACCACTTCTTACCACCCGCCGCAGCACTCACAGCAAAAATCTCGTCGTACATCAGAACCACCTTCTCTTTCAAAGGCTTTTTAGAGGATGACGTCCTCCTCAGCAGCCCTGCCTTCTTCTCAACTTGAGACATGACTAAGTCTGCAAAGAGAGCGGAAACAGAGTTAGCATGCAAACAGTGTGCAAAATCAGGAGGCACACAAAAACAAGTCGTCATTAACAAATGCTTAAAATGCAATATATAATTAAAATGTGCTAGCAGTAGCTTTTTTACATTGCAAAAATGGTTCTTCTGGCAGCAGGTAGAGGTTGTAGATTGTTTTGGATCTCTGTGTCTTGATCAGGTCATTCAACCTCATGAGCTCTTAATGGTGTACTATACTTGTTTCTGATTAGTTCTCAATATGCAGAAATTATTGCAGGAAACGTTTCGCATGGGATTTATATCACCGACTACGCTGTCAAGTGACAAATAATGGCTGGAAGCAATCACTGTTTACAGTCATACCACACCCAATTTGCTCATCGCTTTTACTGGCCTCTCCCACAGAATCTGAAACACGGATGACCAAAGGCATGAACAAAAGATTTATTTCATAACTCAACACAATAGCATCACAACAGAGGAAAACTAACACTGTAAAAGTTACAAAGAATCCCTGAAACAAGTCTCTGCAAATGTGCAATGTCTTGTTATTTTACACCTGATATTAACGCCACTGACTGTTTCAATCCCCTTACACGTTTGTCATAACGTTTCTGACATATGCACAAGTAGAAAGAACTTAATGTAACACATCTGATTCTTTTCTGCACGTTTATGGTTTCCGGAAAATGTGCCTAAACTAATACAGACAGAAATATTTTAGGAGCTGTATTGCTACTAATGTAATTAGTTGTTTTAGCAGCCTATTTCCTAAAGTAATAAAGCTCATATTGGGGAGATGAGACAAATGACTGCGCAATATTAACAGGAATTACTGTAATGTAAACAACGCAACGATTCGGCAACAGGTAAATCGCCTGTCAGTGGTTACATTTGCAAAAAATATTTTCCCATTTGTCTCACTTCACTTATTATGATCATAAACTATCAGCAAAGACGAATAATTTAACTCAGGACTATAGCAAACCACAGCGACGACCTTCTCAGAACTTCATTGCCAAAGGTAATATTTTACTGACTTTTAATAATTTGCACCAACACAAGTGCACTTTCTCAATGGCTATGTTAGCAGAGCCCTACTTGACAGAAGTTAGAGACTGCACACTGAAACATTTTCGGTCAGTTATCGGCTGAAACTGGCTGCTATTGATGAAATCAATATTGATCAGTTCTAGTTGGAATCAGCTGCTAGCTATCTTATCTTGCGTTAGCTTCATAAGCCAGTTCTACTGAACTAGTCCCTCTTCTTGAAACTACAAAAAGCGAAATCATGACCATCAGATACTTTCATCCTGCAGAAAAATCATTAAGCTCCGCAATGCAAACCCGTTAAATTACCAACTGTAAACTCAATCGGGCCTTTTACATATAGATGTTTCGCAGCTTTGGCTAACGCTAAGCTAGCTGATGTCTATTATTATTTATGTTAGCTACCACTGATTTAACTGTTACGAGCTAAGTGACAAACGCCTGCGTAATTACTGGTTAACTGTCCGTGTTTTTATTGTTTATATATGTTAATTTCCACGTACGTACCTCAGTCAAACAGTCAAATACCAATGGTAATGTAGTTCATGAATTCTTGTGGCAGCAGTTAGCTGTTAGCGCCCTGTTAGCATCCTGCTGCTCTCCAGGGTCTTAACGTCCGACAGGTTTCTTCATGTATTTCCTTCTCAATTCTCTGTAACATGACGTTTTCTTTTAAATACCGTAATCAGAAATCCTTTTTTTTTTCTTTCTTGACTCTTTATCACAAACGGGAGAGCTTTGAACACTTAAAATAATTGAAGAAAACCAAGCAATCAGACATTATTGTAAGAAAAAATATGCATAGGCCTTGCACCAAATTAGATTCACTAAACAAAATGAAGTGCTCATTGAATGAAATGTAATGCAAAATTATCTTTGCTCAGCTCAGAATTTCTTCTTAAACTGTAAAACAGAGACACCTGTCATACATTATATTCATGTCGTATTTCAAAAATATCATTATTCTAAAGCTAAATATTCTAATTTATTGAACGTGACTGTACTTTACCATACATAGGTTTGCTGCAGAAGTTGAATTTTAGGGCTGCACAGTGGTGAAGTTGGTAGAGCTGTTGCCTTGCAGCAAGAAGGTTCTGGGTTCAATTCCCAGCCCAGGGTCTTTCTGTGTGGAGTTTGCATGTTCTCCCTGTGCATGTGTGGGTTCTCTCCAGGTACTCTGGCTTCCTCCCACACTCCAAAAACATGACTGTGAGGTCAATTGGTTTCTCTAAATTGTCCTGGCAACCTGTCCAGGATGACCCTGCCTCTCACCTGGAATGTTAGCTGGAGATAGGCACCAGCGCCCCCCCCCCAACCCCACTGAGGGACAAGGGTGTAAGAAAATGGATGGAGTTGGATTTTAGGCAACAAATTAGGTCAAACCTGTAGCACTTGACCAAATCTAAAAAATTTGTAAAAAAAAAAAAAAAAAAAACTTAGCCTAAATCAATAAGCAGCATAATTTTATTTAAATCTCAAATTTAGTTTTTTTTCTGTTTTCGCTGTGTATCAGACACGACATGAAAACTAATTTCTTTAAGCCACACTGGCCAGCAGGCACATAAAGCCGTGTTAAAGCTCCACTTTAAAGGAACAGCTGATGTGCAGGTTTTTCATCACACGCTGAAGATGTAATCACCATGACAAAGCCACTGTGATAATGATTCCCAGAGCCTAAACGTGTTCACTTACTCTTCATCGGCTCAATTAGAGCTGTTTGTCACTCTTTGTTCCAAAATCAATGGTCGCCTCCTCGCTTTTATTGATGCTGACCAGCAGTTTATTCTCTGTGCACCACTCTGGCAAGATTGTTGACTTCCTCTCCCCATGAAACCTTATCATTGTTTTGCCGGGTGATCAATAACTGTGGTGTCATCTTTAGAGGACACCAGCGTCCCCTCGGTGCCTGGCTGTGGAGTTTTCTGGGGGAAAGGAACTAAACAGTTAGATAAAGAAAAACTATTTTGGATATACTGTAGGTGTAATGTTCAGGTTCTCTAGAGAAGTGAAGTGGAGCTGCTGTTAGGAATGGTTGATGTGATTTCCCTTTCTCTGTTTGACTGGTAGTTCTGGTTTTGGTTTTGCCTTTCCTTCTTTGCAGAATGCTCTGAATGATCTCCCTTTGTGCTCGGGTTGGTGATGTTTGATCAGCAATTTTAAAGAGTTTCTGCTATCTTTGTCTCCAGGAGTTAACGTCATCCATCCATTGTGTTTTGCTTTTTGAAGATAGGGTTGTGGGGAAAGCAGAACCAGGGAGGAAACTTAGAGATTCTCCCCCTGTTGATTCTCTTCAGAATCCAAGGAGAGCTCAAGGGATTTGTAGTCCTTCCAGCCTCTTCTGGGTCTTTCTAGTGAGATGTACGTCTCCAAAAGGGGAGGAGGTACAGAAGAGTTAGTAAATGTATGTTTTTTCTGCTCCTCTTCCTCCAACCAGTTAAAATGCGGATCTTAATCTGAAATTCTGGAGTGGCACAAACTACAATCTCAATATTCTCTGCAGCAAGCAGAGGGTGCCGACTCCCCACCGACTGCACAGACGTGAAACTCTTCCTTTCACTTGTTTTATCTGTTGCCCTCTTTCTAATGCCACCCTGGGCAACTGTCCATATGGCCCATACCAAAAATTACCAGTGCCCAGGAGGCATCATAATCAGGAGCCTGAACAACATCAGCTTTTATCTGCTGGTTGAGTCTTCTCAGCTAACCTTTTATTTGTTTGAGGACTGAAAGAGGCGTTGATCGACAGGTGCAGCCAGCGGAGAGCCCAGCTGTGCCACCTGAAGCAAGTTTGCTAACTGGATTGACGAAGAGTTTTTACAGCGCTTTGTTCAAAAATTTTAAAAAAAAAAAAAAAAAAAACAATAGTATGTTGTGTTGTTACTGTATATTAAATAGGGAGTGTGATCCTGCACAGCTACATTATACTTGGAACTGGGTTTATATTCATTCATGCTTAGAAAAATTCAAAACATTTAAAAAAAAAATATCCTGAGTGCAGTAAAAAAAAAATTGCTTTTCTGTTGCACTTTTTTTTGTTTTAGATTGTCAGATAAATTGCAATTAAAGACAAAAAAATAATTGTATTTATTAATGGAGAAAAATAAACCAAACTGGCCTCTACAGCTAGTTCCTGGTTGGACAAGAGACAAAATCCTACTCTGACCGTTCACAGAAATAAAATATCCAGTTTCTTCCAATTTTATCACCATCTTTGGTGAGGAAGTATACCAACGCAACAGAATAAATCACTATTAAGTCTTGCTATTTGCTGCAGTTTTCTGACATTTCATCCATCTCACTTCATTGTTTTAAAACACATCTGTTCATAGCGCGGATGTGTTAGGTGAGAAACCTTTTAGCTTCTTCCTCACTTATAAAAAAATCAACATATCTGCCTATCTGAATCATGTTTGCTTCTCTTTCCCACTTTTAAGGGTAGCAATGACAAATGAGCTGCCCTTTTACACCAATATTTAAACAAGAAACATAAATTACCAATTAAAAGTTAGCATGAGCGATAAAAGTAAAACCTCATAAACGAGATGATCCTTATGTTGCTATGGGTCCAGCATCCGTGTTACTTATAAAAATCCCTCATCCACCAGTTTTAAAGTGAAAATGTATCTTTTTATTGGTACCATACATTAATTATTAAGGGCAGAAACTAAGCAAATCAAAAAAATATATATCAAACAAAGATTTCTCTACAGGGTTTGGAGAAGGTACAAGTCACCATTCAAAGTCAATCAGAAATGCAGCTGGAATCAATTCCCCCCAAAAAACAAATGTACAAACCAATAACAGAGCTGTTCTCTATTGGACTTTACAGACTCAGCACTGTTACCAAAATATGCAGACTGTACTTAATGTTAAAATGGCTAGCGACACTGCTGGTTATAAACAAGACTGTACAAATAAGAGAATTTTAACATAAAACTCATTAAGAAAACAAAAAAGATCAAAAACAAAAGATTGTTTCTTAGCCAGTGATGAAACAGGAAAGTTACAGGGAAACTAAAAGCCATTGAGCACATTCACTTCGACAGCAAGATGAGATACAGAAAAATTGTCAGGGATGCTGTGATTAATCAAAAATACAAGCGTGAATTTTTAAAAATAAATAGAAAAGAAAAAAAAAAAACTAAGTAAAATCATCTTTCCATGGTGCCATTGTACCCCCAGGGGTTTGTAATTTAATTTACACAAGTTTTATTTAAAAAAAAGAGGAAGGAGGAAAGACAGCAGGGGGGGAGGAGGGAACAGGTTCATGAGTGTTTTTTCTCCTTTTTCCTATTTTTGTTTCTTTACATTAGATCGGGATGGCTTTAGGTAAATCTAAGTAAGAATACATTTTATTACAGTCAGACAGAACTTTGCTACTACCTTAAATATACAAGCACAAATACACAAAAAATCCCCAAAAAAACAACAAAAAGACAAAATAAAAACATCCACACTAAATTATTTCTCTTTTATAAACATAAAAGATTAAAAAAAAACAAACAAAAAAAACAATATATTTTTGAGGGGGGAGAGGAGGATAAAAGTCCTGCGTTGCTCCTTGGTCTGTAGCTTTTCAGTATTGGTAGAAAATTAAAAATAAAAGTAATTGAAATGAAGGCGTTTAATACAAATTAAAAAAAAAACATTCTAGGGAAATATATATACTGTATAAAAACTCTTAAAATGTGTAGCTGTGTGTGTGTTTGTGTGTGTTGTAAATGCTTTCCATTTGAAAGACTGCAGTCACTGTAGTCTAATCAGAGATGGTTGGGGCACTGGGGGCACTCAGAATCCTTCAATCATGACCTTTACTATCATGTGTGTTTGCATGGGTGAGAATGTACATGTGTGTTATTGCCCTAGTGCCTCAAAATAGCCTTCATACTAGTGTGTTAGTTCTGAAAACCGACGCTCGGTTCTGACCCGTCTGCTTCAGCAAAGCCAAAGATAAACACTTCAGGTTTTCTCTTCTCACACACACACACACACACTCACTTTCGCTCACACACACACACGCACGCAGGATGGCTTATGCATCGGCAGAGCAGGCCACGATCCGGAGTCGTGTTTAGATGACAGGTAGCGACTCGCCACCGCCGTGAAGCCCCGCCCCCACCCGCCCCGCCCACCCACCCCTCCGTGCGAGCGAGCGTTCGGTCTCCGATAGGTTAGTGTACTTGGTTCTTGTGTGGAATAAATTCCTGCTACTTCTCGGTCGTGTCAACCCCTATCCCCATCCGGAAATGAAAACGAACAACAGCGGACGGGGTCGTTTTGTGTAAAAAGTTGGAGGAGGAGAGAGAAAGAGAGATGGAGGGAGAGGGAGAGATGGAGAGAGAGAGAGACAGAGAGAGAAACAGTGCTGGGACACAGTGCCTAAACATTTCTCTGGCTCAGTCAGAGGACAGACGGAGCTCCTTCAGGCTACCTGCGGTGTGAATCTGAGCGCTACAGCTGTGTTTGGTTTGCAAATCAGACTATGGACCAATTTGGCTGCAGTCATGGCTATAGAGGTAGGGTGGGGGGGCTGACAAAGGGGTCTGTATAGAGGTTATGGGGGGTCCCGCCCCGGGGCTCTACTGGGACGCCTGCGAGGTGGGGTTGTCGCTCTTGCTCTCCTGGCTGGAAGGGGCCTTGTTGTTCCAGGGCGAGTTGGAGCCCAGCGCCGGAGAGTTGTTGAAGCTGTCCTCGTCGTCGATGCCGTTGGCCGCGTCGAACTGCGTGTTCTCCAGCCTCGTGATCAGACGCTCGTCCTCGTCGCCGAACTCCCCGCCCATCAGGGTGGGCTCTCCCACCACCATCACATCCTGCGGTCATGACACACAGGGCTTTGTTAGCGGCGAGATTTGAGCTTTCCTTTGTGCTCTTTTGAATTTTTGCAATTCAAATTGAAACTACAAACGCAGAATAAATTAAAAGTGGTGTTTGTATTTCTTTTAAGAGCTGAACACACCCTATACACCAAAAAAGCTAGAAAAAAAATATCTTAAAAAAAACCCTTCTTGCCAAGTTTCCTGACCGTTAGCAAACAGAAATAATTTGGGTAAATCTAAGCAAGTTTGGTCTGATTCAACTTCGGACAGAGAGAAAAAAAAAATATTGTCTTTTCATTATCTAACTATCTTGTTTCAACTATAGATAACGTTTTCCAAATTTAGGCCTTTAATCAAACGTTAGATTGCACTTTATTCCTAAATGTGCAGTTTGAATTTTAAGTACTTTCTAAACCTTGAGAACACCTACCTAAAAAATTCAAGCATTTTTAAGGATTTCAAGCACCCTCACTAGCTCTGTCTAAGGCTTTCGTCCTAATACGTTTTTAGAGCTGAATGGGCTTTCCTGGCTCGTAATACAGACGCATATAGATTTTACCGTCCGAGACGTCAGGCCTCACAGAGCGATGAGAACATTGGATGATGGGGAAAATAACAGGAAGAAAGTAGAGGAAATAGGGCTTAAGTGCAAATCAATATCACCATTGCTGTATTCCACAATGATATTGTGCAGGCCTCGTCTGTTTTTTTCCCCCCTCTCTCTAAATGAATGTTTTTAAAACCTGTAGTAACCAATCGCCGACACTAGGTGGCAACGATGTACTGACCGGAACTTGGCTGGACAAAGGGAAGCCGCTGCCGGGGCTCTTCTTTTTGTTGTTGTTGTTGTTGTTGGCCCCGCCTCCGCCGCTGATGGTGCTGCCGCCTGACATCTTACGCTTCCGCCTCTTGTTGGGGGCCTGTCTCGACGGCTCGGCTGTCGAGTCGGGAGAGAGGGCGACGGTTACGCAAACGTCAGGCTGATTTTATGAATCTGCACGGTCCGTCCGGCTTACCAGGCGGCGCCACCATCCTCTGCCATTTCTGGAAGAGGCAGGTCTTGAGGCAGTCTCTGGGGCTGAGACTGTATGTCTTGTGTCTGGACATCAGCTCCTGCATGGGCTCCAGAATAACACACAGCTGCAGGAGGGAACAGAAGGCAACGGGTTGACCAAGGGTGACGCAACGTTTAATACGAACAGAAATGTTTCTTATTGAAACAGAGAGTTTAAGCTACGTTATTATTATAATAATCTAGCTGCAGAATAAATGAATCAAATTCATATTTTTAAACAATCCAGTTTTTCAATAAGAGTCCTGCAGTGGAACTGCATCGTACAAAGTGAACCTCGAAGAAAGCTTTAAATATTATTGTCACAAACAATTATATAAAATCAGTTTGTCTGAATAAACAATTTAACTACAAAACAATTCCATGAGTTTGCTTCTTACCAGCTAAATTTGGCACTTGATTTGATTGGGAAATAGATTACAAAGTGACAGAATGACCAAAGTGTTAACATGAATCCCTCGATATGTATTAAAAATAACTTTATATTCAGAAAATAGTGCATTTAAAATGCAAGACTGAACCAGTTAAGAGAAACAGAAGTCATTTCATTCATTATTAGACATTCAACATATAAGCTTAAAGGGTTTGAACAAAAAATATGACTTGTATTTATTAGGTGTATTATTTATGATTTTGTCCGATCTTGTTATTCTGTATGTTATTCATTAAGGTACTGACATGATCTCTACATTTTAATAGGCTAAAAAAAAAACACATGGAAGCAGAAATGAGGCAGAAAGCATTAGCATTAGCATTAGCGCATCGTTTAAATCCAGCATGAAGCCCAGATTCTAGTCTGAAGGATTCACCAAACATTGAGCTAAAGGAAAATATAGCAGGAAGCTTAAGGAACTCATCATGATGCTGCTTTAGTTGAAAGGTTCAGAACAAACTAAATAGATTATAAAGTGACAGAATGACGTTATAATCCATTTAGATTATAAAGTCTAAATCAAGATATTGCTATAGCTAAAGTAATCTGACTTGTAGACTAGTAGCAGCAGCTTCAATATGCTCAAAAGTTTCTGCCAGGGTTCTTCCTACATCAACGTCAAGCAGCACATCTTATTCAACTTTGCAGGCCTCTAAAGGCCATTATCCTCATCAGACATCTCCTGCCACCGTGTGTAGCACTTCAACTTTAATACCAATTCAGAACAGTTTTAGTTTTTATTTAGTTATTTTAACTCTTTTGCTCTATATATGGCTTCCCTGGTACACATAAGAGCTGTATTAATCCATTATCCACTACTGCTGCTGCTAATGTTTTCATATACTTACTTATATAAAAGCCAACATGCAACTCTGTCATTTAGTTGCATACTGATAAGTCTTTGGTAATAGAAAACTACCTATTTGTTTTGAAGGAAGTAATTCCATAACAGCTTTAAGGATTTTTCCATGATCCACGGCTTTATTTAATGCGCAGTGGTATTATGTTTTTAAAAACAACAACAAAAATCCGGCTGAATGTCTGTATTTCTGCTCACTGACAGCAGGACTCGCACACAGACGCAGTGACCCGACTTCACACACAGACGGAGCTTCTGTTCTTAAACAAAAAGCTGCAAAGTAAGCGTCAAGACGGCCTCACAAAGAAGCACCCAGCAGGAGTTCGTCAGAACATCGTACACCTTCAGGAAACTGGACTTAAAAACTCCCTGCCTCGCTCTGTGTGCTGCAGCTCTATGAAACTGCTGAAACCTATGAACTCAGAATCACGTGCCGGCGAAGACAAAACTGTTGATCGTAAACCAAAAATAACTAAACTAAACTGAGCTTTATATCATCATTAAGCCAGTAAGAACATCCCAACGGGAACAGGTTCGGTCTAGGAATCTGTCATTTCAAATCGAGAACGTAACAAAGATGCTCATTCTGAAGACACCAATAATCAAGGAGGCCTGGAACGATTAATTGGACTAATATCATTGAAATTATTGTCCACTAATTTAGTAATTGATGAATCATTTGAGCATACAGAGTCAAAAAAGACTAACTGATGAAAGAACATTCTAAGAGCTGTAATTAAGCCAAAACTCTACAAATTTTTTTTTACACATTTTGTATTTCAGAAAAATAAAAAGTCTAAAATTTTAGCTTCACCCAGCTCAAATTATCTTTTCTCCATTCAATAATCAGTTGATCTAAAAAAATAAACAGATTATCCCAATACTGTACTGATGTTAAATCAAGCAGAAATGGCTGACTTTCTCTTGCTAGAAGTATTATTTAAATTTTTAGTAGCAGATAATTGCTTTGCTACAAATGTCATTGCATTTATGCAATAAAATATTTGTTTTCGAATTTAAAAACAAGTTACTTGTTTATTTGCATACTTAAATGCATTTCTAATATTGTAAAAAAGAAAAGCCTTAAATGAAAAATCTCCTATTTTTGTCAGATTAATCGTCACAATAGTTGGTAGAAAACTGAAATAAGCCCTACTATCACCACACAACACTGATTATTAAAGGAGCAAACATCCTGTATTATTTGGAATAAAAGAACGGCTGTATTTCGTCTTTTATAAGATGACACACCAAAGCAAATGGAGGCAAACACAAATACTTTTTTATCTTGTTACTTTGTGCTTTCTGGGGGGAAAGCTGTTGCCAAAAGCTTGAAGTTCTTTCTTTTATAGAGTGCATCCAGAAAACACAGGATTTTGCAGCATTAACCTGCTGATATTTTCATCTACAAAAGTCAGCTTCGTGGTGCGAATCGAACGAAAAACAAACAAAAGCAGTGTGCCCTGGCTCCCCTTACCCGGAGGTAGTTGAGGGTGGAGTTTGACAGGCCACATCTTGTTATGTTTTTGGACAGCTGGTCAAGCATCTGTGGGTCTTGGGCCTGGAACGAGATTAAAAAGAACGACTTTAAACGACGCCCATCGTACGTATCCACGTGTAACCCAGTCCCTCACTTACGTGCATGGCCAGTATACTGCGGGGGATGAGTTCACGGTGCTGTCTGATGCTGAAGTGCCATGTCTTTATCCGCATCATGTCGTCAAACATGAACTCCAGGTACAAGCGGCCCTCTACACACACCTGCAGAGGTTCAGAGGATGGATTCAGCCTGCGAGGCCGTGAAGGAGGAAGTCTCTATCCTGACAAAACGTTACCGACGTACCTGTGTGAACATGGGCTTTCCGTTTTGAGTGACCATAGTGCACTGATCACAGTCAAGGGAAACAAAGTTATTGTGGAAGGATTCCTTGGGATGTTTCAGTACGTAGTAGAGCTCCGTGGCCCCGCCCTCAAATATACTCCGGAAGTACCTTGGAATTAACGTCCGACCAATCGCTGGAGAGAGAGAGAGAAAAAAAAAAAACAGATGTGAAAAACATTCTTGGCTCATCTGTTGACCAGAAAACAGCAAAAACTAATATTTGCAGGTCCAATTTGAGGCGCTGGTCTAAATGATGCTGTTATGCAACAGTTTGTTTAACGCTCGAATGCAATTAATTGACAAAGAGCAGAAAAGGCTCCTATGGTGTCTCCTCAAATAGACTGAATTAAACAAACAGAGCTGCAACAAACTGGAAGGTTCACAAAAAAAAAATAAAAATAAAATATCGGCCACTGGGGAATTATTCTAGAATAGCAGAAATTTAGCCCACAAACACAATTTAAAAAAAATAATTGGTGAAATTTAAGTCAAGTTTGTTTGTGTAACAATATAGAAACAACAAGAAAGTTCAAAGTACCTTACACCATAAAAACATCAAACAGTCAATTGTGAAGCAATAAACATTTTGTCAAATGCCATCATCAAAATCACCAAGCAAATATACATCAAATACATGATCAATGTTCCAGAATCAAAGCAACTCTGAACCGGTTCTTAACCTTGATTTAAATGGACTCTGTTTCAGCAGTTTTGTAGTTTTCTGGAAGTTTGTTCCAGATTAGTGGAGAATAGATCACATACAGTAATGAGGTCTTTCAAAAAAAAAAACAAAAAAAAAGGATACAGAAATTAAAACTCTTCGCAAAATGAAAAAATGTTTGATAAAACTAAAAACTCATCTTTTCTTAAGTCTTTTTTTTTTACCTCTATATTGAACTACACACACTTAGTGACTTTTTCCAAAGATGAAACCGCTATTCGTTGAACTTGGCTGAATAAAAGGTTTTTAAAAAACAGGCGACCCGTCATGAGAATGACCCCAAAAAAAAAATGTATATAGACCAAGAAAATATAAAAGTCAACAAAAAGGTTAGAAAATTTGACAACTTTTGTTTGTTTTATTGAGATATTACATAGTTTACCGTTGAACAGCTAAAGTTATAAAATTTCAGGACGTATTGCAAGATGACCAGAAATAAATCTGTGGCTCGTCGTGAGTGCTTTAAACTTATTTAACAAAAAGTCTAGACACTCTTTTTGCTTTATTTTTACAGCAACAGAAGAAGGCGTCACACTTTGGAGATGAAAGGCAGTGCAGTGCTCACTTGGGCTAAAAACAAGAAATCAGAAAACAGCAAGAAAAAAAAAATAATTAACCGAGTTGTGCTTTTTCATAATTTCATAGCGATGCAGTTGATACTGAATCAAGATAATATGGTTCTCCTTAGTTGGTTCAGTTCTTGTTGAATGGGTTATTTGCTTTGAAGAAGTTGAAAGGAAGGAAATCAGGGTTTAATAGGATGACTTCAGAAAACTATTGACGACAAACACTGTTAGAAAGGTTGTGCCATTTCTGACTGGAATTGTATCATCACTACCAACCACTGTGCCTCTAAAGAAAGACAGACACTCAAAACTAGGGATATGTCCAAGTATAGAAAATAAATTTCACACACAGAGTTTCATTTTTGTTTGTTTTGTTGCTTAAGTCTCATTTAAAACAGACTCCTTTCTATCGCAAGACAGAGGGAACGAAGTAAATCAGGTAAGAAAATATCGTAGGTCTCGAAGGCGGTGCATTATTTGCCATAGCAACACAAAAAGACAACAGACATGCTGGTCAGTAACACGCTGCAGATAAATCTCTGCTCCAACACAACTGTTTGAAATGCTTGCATTATCTCTTCAGCGAGCAGGAGGCCGACCCACGAGGAGAGGAATTTAACCCCGCGCTGTTAAGATTTTCCAAAGAACCAGTGGCTGGTTTGGTGTGTTTGGCCTCTGAAGCCGGGCTCACACTGTGCAATTTATGGCCTTTATCCGTAAAAAAAAAGAAAAAGTTGTTGTGAAAGAACCATCAGAAAATATTTGAAATTTGTAACCAGTGACCTGTGGTTAGTCGGTCCAGCGGAGCTGAAAACAACTGAGCATCCAGATCTACCAGAAGACAAAAAAAAAAAAAAAATCAAAGAAAAAGCATTCAGGTCTGCGTTTTCCTAGCAAATTTCCAGTAAGCTTCATAGCGTAGCTGGCAAATTATATGCGTCACGGCCAAATGCTGGTGATTTGGTAAAATCAAATCACCAGCCTCCCAGATGTAATCGTTTCTCAAATAGCAAAGAGTCCAGATCTCTTTGTTCTGAACAAAGCACAGAACAAAGGGCTGTTTTTTGTTTTTAATCAGGCTAGTGTTTTCTTAATTTTATAGAGGTGGCTGATTCTACATCATCAGAACTACTTGCCACATTTTTATTGTAACAATTTTTTTTTGCATACGTATACTGATATCGCAATATTCACGTCGTCATACTGCGAGAATCTCATAGCGGCTGACGCCTAATAACAGACAGAGGTAAAATATCAAGAAAAAAATTTACAAATCGCAAAGAAATGTGCATTGTGAATGCTACTGTGACAAACATCTTATTGTCTTTGCTCTGAACATTTCCCAGAACACCTCCTCCTCTAATAAGACGTGCGTCAACAACGGTGGTTGCATCCTCTGCTGAGCCTATGTCTGCTGTTATTAGTAGACTTGCAACTCTGTATTTTGCACTCCACATTGTAGCAGAACAGAGTTTAATGCTCTCACGCAGTGTGACATGTACCATGATGGACCATAATTGCACAGATCATCATGAATATATAATTGAATCTGTAGTTATTGTGGATAACTAAAGGCTGTCGCTGAAAAACGTTAAGGGTCGACAATAGGGGCTCATTCACAGACTAAAACTCAAGTAATGCTTGTTACTCACTGTAACGTTTGGGACCGTCTTCCAGACAGAAAGTAATGGTCAACATGGCATCATCTTCAAAGAATTCTGTAGTAAAAGCATCCCACCACAGGTTGTCGCACTCCTAGTGGATCATTTGAAGAAAAACACAGCACACGAGAATTACCACAACTGTTTTTGTGTCCATTTCCAGGTGTGCCTTTGTGCATCCAGCTGGACACAAACCTCTGTCCAGTTCTGTAGCCGCTTGTTGAGCTCAAATATTCTGTAGTCTGTTTGGTTACCATATGGTGTGTGCCTCCTGAGTTACAGCACAGAAACACAAGATGAATAAGAAAGCAGGGATGAGAATGAAGCACTTGTACATTCAAGCGTTTCTCTGACTAAATCTTAATTTAAAGGGGAGAAGTTGACAGCTACTGTAAAGCACATTAACACACTACATTAAGACTAGCTGAAGGGAACAGGAAACAGTGTTGCCTTACCCTATACCTGGCTCCATGTATGAGGGCGGATACATCGGAGTGGGACTGGAAAACAAGAAGATTGTTTCATTAAACTTTAGCTTCTTCTACATGCTTGTTGATCTTAGAAAGTATACGAGCAGAATTCAAAGAAAATATAACGAACAGCACTTCTCAAATATCTTAACCTGTGTTTCACCAAATGGAAAAAAAAAATAGCTGTTTTTTTTATTACTATTTAACTAAATATCTTCTATACTCAGTTTCTACAGTTTTATAGCATCTATAACAACTGTTATAAATGTCCCAAACAATTAAAGTTTAGAAGCTTTTTTTCTGTCATTACGATGTGAATCATTTTTGATGGATCATCAGACACAACAAACGGCACAAATACTTTGAAAGCTGCATCTGGATGTTTAAAAGTCTAACCAGGAGTTGGTTTATCTTTTTAAAAAGGTAAGCTTCCAAAATTAGCATATCACTTCCTTTTTAAATAAACCCCCCCGCCCCCAGATATTATGTTCCACAGTCCAATAAATTTAGACTACTTTCTGAACACCAATTAATTTGCAGTTTGACTTCAGTTGTTGCTCCGGGTGTTGAGTTATCAGCCCACCAGCTAAATGACCAGAGCTGCACCAAGACTTCAGCTACAGTCCAGAACAAAACAATTATACACCTGACTCAGCTTTCTTCGTCATTCTATAGAAATATTAACACAAACCAGACATTTACACAAAAATGGTGATGATGAGAAAGGTCACAACATTTCTAAACCAGAAACTACAGATTTAATGTACATCAGACAAATACGAGTGCTACATGATTAAATCCCTGTTGTACTCTCTTTGTAAATACAAAGCGCTACAAACACCAGCACTAGATGTTTAAAACGCACAGAAGGGGCAGGAAACTCACCCCACGTCTCTGTCCAGCATGGTGCCGGGGTGGAAAGGGGGGAAAGTGCTACCGTTGGGGGGCTCCTTGGGGGAGTACAGCTTGAATGACTTGGAGGAACAGCCTGGATGACATGGAGACACACAAGAGAGGAAAAACATAAAAATCTGTGACAATAAAAAGGGAACTAGACAGACTACGGCAGAGAATACGTGGAACTGTAAACGCCCAAAGCTTGGAGACAAAAGCTAAATTGTTCCACAAGTCTTTGATACAACAATGTCTTCAGTACAAGTTGATTAATGGGGTTCGTCTGGTGGACGTCAGCCCGACGCAGCCGGTACGTGTCCGTTTTAGTGATACAAAGACGGTGAAGGAGCATCCTCCTTCCTCGCACATAAACCAATCCTCCGCCTTGCCACCATCTAATCTCCATGAAAACACCTCTAAATATAAAAATACCAGCAGACCATACGTCCTCGACACGAACACTCATAAAACAGACCGATGTCTCTCCCAGACACAAACAGTTCCCATCCTTTTTTTCTTTTACAATAACTGCCCAGCTCCGTCATAAAGACCATCCAGGCATGGCGGCGTAGGTGTCATGACCCCACCGTCACCATGGTGAGGCCCCTCCTCCTTAATGTCCCCCTGTCTTGTTACTATTGAACAGACATACATCAATCAATTTTCCCCTCAATCAGTTCTGACCAGGATTTTTTTTTTCTTTTTTTTTGTGGTATTCGTAAAAACCAAGAACTCAACCAACAGGTGATGCACTTTTTAATTTAACAGTCCAGCTCTTGTTTTTTCATCATGTTATAGTGTTGGAAGAAAAATGAAAACCTAAAAACAAGAAAAGGATTTTTTAATCACAATATAAACCTTTTGAAAATAACAAACTAGTGGTAGCAATACTCAGTTTAAATGTACATCTAAAATACAAAAAGGGGCAACAAAAAAAAACTGGCAGATTTTTCTGGCATCTGATTTGCCAAGCACCAATCACATCTGATTATAGGAAATCTGACCGACTGATACATTGGTGCATCTGTAGAATAAGTAATTGTAAAAAAAATAAATAAATAAGATACTAATGTGAAATTCAAGTACATACAACAAATTAAGTTAAAAAAAAAACACACTTCTTTCCTAGTTTACGTTAGCAGTAAAACTCTCAAGAGTTGCTTAAAAGGACGTGTATTAGTTTTCCATTAAACTATTCATTCAGGTTTGTCAATTAAAGATAAAAATCCCATGAATCTAAAGCAGGAGTAATGACAGTCAAGTATGCCTGCTATGCGTGTTGTAGACTGCAGAGAGCCTGTGGGAAAAGTTAGAAACCTAAAGGTAAACAAATAGGCCCTTTAAAACAGGTTTCCCCATCTTCAGCTAGGAAGAAAAGCAATAAAACACTCACTCATCTGAAGCTCTGTCTGCTCTTTAAGGAACAACAAGCAGTTTGGATTGCAACACCACGCTATAGGCTGGATGCACCGCCAGATAAAGAAATAAATAAATAATCAATGGTTATGTGTCCATTAGTTGTTGAAAGCTCCATTAGCTCCTCTCCTCTCCTGTTAGCGGTTAATGACAGTCAGTCACAATCGCATCAGCTGGACTCCACTTCCTCCACTGGGAATCATGCTCCTCTCTCTTTTACAAGCAAACAACACATTACGTACGGTTTATGTATACATGCTGTACATGTTCATGTGTTTTACATAAACTATGTAGTCAAACTTCAACCTAAACCCTATCCCCAAAGAGGCGTGGAAGCCTTCAACAGTTCGGATTTAATAGCATTGATCTCCTGTCACCAGACTAACTACTATCACTCCTCACTTTTTATTTTTCTAGGATTGGTTTCGTCACAGACGGCCACTGTGGTTTCTATTAGCGCTGTTTAGGAGAAACCAAGCAAACTACCCAAGTCATACACTTTTATATTTCTTTTTGTTACACTTTATGCATCTGTAATGCATGCTTCAACTTTACGCTGCTGAAACATTTCACTGTAAAGTTACAAGAATTGGTTACAAAGGCAATTAGAAAGGCAGCCATCGCATTATGTTAGCACGTAGCCACCAGCTAAGCTACGCTACAAGACCTACATGCAAGAAAACTGGGAATATCTGCAGCAAAACATAAAACCTATATATTTTGTGCCGAATCTAAGGTTCGCTTAAACACCCAGGTATAGAAGAGAAATAATCCTGACACCTTTCACAACTACAACACTGCCTCGCAGGCCTTTGACTGGCAGGCTAGTTTAGCCGTTAGCAGATAGCCTTTTGGCTAACGCCTTGACGTTATATTCCTTCTCTACCGCAAATCTCCTATTAAATGGCGATAAATTTCCAGCGCGAGTGCTCGTTAACCATATTTAATTGCATTAGGAGTCGCGTTTCACAGTAGAAAATCTGTCTTTCGGCGGAAAAGTGACCTTTTACCTGCGAAGAAGTCCAATCAGAAAATTGATGTTTACAGATCCGTGATGATAGACCGTGTGTACGCTCCGTGCGTAAAAACGGATAGGCCCGCTGGACGCAACGTACCCACACAACAATACGTCCTTTCCCAACAGAATCAATAAAAAAAAAATCTCCTCAAAACGAGAGACAACAGCGGAATAAGGCCGAAATTGCGGGAGTTGGTAGTTTTATGTTTTGTCCCGCATGAGGCCTTGTCCGTGGACTGGAGCCTGCTGTGGGTTTACATACGGACCCCGATGAGCCCTTTGTTCACGGGAGGACATGAACAATAGCTGTAGGCCCTCCTCCTTTCCGTCTGCAATGCATTTGCTCCTCTCTTCTCTGCCCAGCACAGTCAGCCACCCTCTCCCCCCGTTTTTTCCCCTTCCTCTTCTTCTTCTTCTTCTCCTCCTCCTTGTCCACCACCACCACCTCCCCCTTTAATGCACAACTGCACATAAAGGTTGTCTGGTAAGCATTTTTCCCCTTCCTCCTCCCTGCATCCCATCTCTTCCTCCTAACTGACACAGATGAGAATTGGCCTAATGCAGCTGACTGGAAATTTGCGTGGAAACAAAGATCATGTTGACTGCAAAGTGGTTTTCATGTTTGCCTAATTAGTGCACATCAGCTTGCTCCTAACAGCCGAACTGGGACAGCCGGAGAGCCCTGGCTGTACACAGTGGGCTCATTCAGTGTGATGCAAGCACTGCTGATGCAGCAACACGATCAGTCTGAAGAAGATTAAGATCTTCTAAACTTTCACAGAAGGTATGAGACCGAAGCGGTTTGAATTAATTGCGTTTTAAAGTTTGTACACTGAACTGTCTCCAAGGTGGACAAGCCAGATCCATCAACAGGGTAAGTTTTCTCTCTGCAAGTTTCTGCTCAGACTGCAGACACACTCACACACGCATGGATGCACACACACACATGCACACACACACTAATGAGCACACACACACAAAGATGCTAAGCCAAAAGGAGAATCCCACAGGCTTCTAAATCGGCTTAAATCGCCTCAATTTATAATCAGATATTCAGATCACAGCCAGCGAGATCCCACCCATATGGCCAAGATTGAAATATAAAAAGAACAAGTAGGGTCAGACTAAAGCCAACAATTTTTGACATTTTTGTGCCCCCTAATCTTTACAGATGCAATGCAGCACCAATGTCTTGGGCCACCTTTCATTTCTGTATCAAACAGGTTTGTAAAAGGAGATATAGAAGAAAACGCGCAGCGTATTGGAAGACCTTCCGTTCGTTCATCCATTGTCTTCTGCTCACCTAGATCCATTCACAAGAGTGAGATTGCCTCTCCTCAGCAACACTCTCCATCTCATTCTAGGTAATTCCTCTGCTTTTCCTGGTATAAAGTCCCTACAGTGAGCTCTGGGTCTGCCCTGGGGTCTGCTTCAAGTTGGTGCACCCAGAAAACTTCCAGGTGGCATCCTGATCAGATGTCTGGACCACCTCTACTGACTTCTTTGGATGGGCAAGAAGAGGTGCATACAGTAACACCGTCAGCCACATTTCCCAGTTTTGCCACCAGACAGAAAGAGCTTAGGGCTTGATGCTGAAATCACCTTCATATTTACAAGCATATGCATGGTTGAAGAGAGAGAGGGTGTAATAGTTGTAAAATGTTTTGTAGACAAAGTAACAGATATATGTATGTATTTAGTAATTTATATAGTAGGAGTACACTTCTGCTGTCTGCTACCAGTTGTTGAGTACAGGATGATCTGTGAATGGTACAGAAATGAAAGGTAGATCTCTTAAGGCTGAGCCCTGCCATGCCACAGAGTTAGCTCGTCCCTGCTGCTTCTCAGTCTTTCGGTCATGAACCATTTTAGGGCTGGTAATTCAACAGCTTTGCCCTTTGCCTTAGCTCTCTCTTCACCGCTACAGAACAGAGCGCTGCAGTGTTACAACAGACGAGGTCTCGGTCCATCTATCCATTCCCAGCTCCATCATATGTCGCTCGTGAACAAATCGCCGAGATACTTGAGGCAGGATGAAGCAGCCCACAATTTTTTTTGCCAGTGAAGAACCACGGACTCCGGTTTAGAGGAACCGACTCTCATTCCAGGCTCTGCTCTGTTAGCTAAGACGCCTATACATTAAAAACTGAAGGACACATGGCCTGAGGAAGCCATCAGAACCAAAACATCTGCAATAAGCAAAGATGAGAACCTGAAGTTTGCAAACCACACACTTTCCATGACTTAAGATCCTGCCAGTGGATGCTCCAAACAGGACCAGTGATGAAGGGAAGCCACATCGAAAACAAGCTCAACTTTGTGCCGACACAGGTCCTGCTTTGGTTATACTATTAGCAGATAGCCTTGAAAAATAATTTTTCAAAAAAGTAATTTTAATAATGTTTTGTTTTTTGTTTTGTTTTTTTACACTGATGGCTTTTTTCTGAAGGAGAACCCTGAATAATTTCTTTTGTTTTGGGTCTATTTTTCCTGTCGGTGTTATCTACACTAGCCTGGTAAAAACCAGCCCCTTGTTCTACTCTTTACTTCATTTAGAGGGTCTGGTCGCTTGGCTGGTGATCAACGATTTTTTTGCTGGAGGTGTGGAGTCTGTTGAAGTTTTAAATTTTACCCGATTACTAAAGTGACGCATGTAAAGC